AGTGGGGAGTAGAAGAGCGGCGGGCTGTGAGGGCGGCGGAGAGAAGGCGGCGCGGACCTTGAGCGCTTGATAGAAGAAGTCGTCCTCGGCCGCCGTCCTTGGCTTTTGCGGGAGCGAAGAGAAGCTGCGGAGGGGAGGCGCACAGGGGGCGGGGGCGGCAGAGTGTGAGAGAAGCCTCAAGTGAGGGATGGGCGCAGAGGGAAGGCCTGCCTATAACGCAGCGCAGCCACTGGGTGCGGGGTGGGTCTGGGGCGGCGGCGCACTCCCAGAAGAGGGCGGTCACGTGCTCGCCGAGCGGGTGGCGCAGGAAGCGCCGCACGTTCGCCAGATACTCTCCAGTCACGTCGGGGTGGTCCGGCGAGGCCCAGCCGTAGGTCAGCCCGGCGACTTCGCGGCTCAGCGAGCGCAGCGCCGCAACAGCCTCCTTCGGCGTGAGGAAGATGCGGATGCGTCGCTCCTTCTCCATTCGCTCCAGCTCTTGCCGGCGGAGGAGTTTGGGCAGCACCGCCTCGGAGCCGTCGGCGCGCAGGAACTCGGCGCGGAGCAACTTGATGGCGCCCGAGCGAAGGGCAGCGACGAGCGGCTTGTCGAGGGCCGCCAGCAGCGGGCAGCCCTTGTGGTCGGCGGCGGTAAGCGCAGCTGGCTTGCTCGTCCCGCAACCCATCAAGGTCTCGTCGTCTCGAAAAAGAATTCTTAAGATACAAGCCTCTCTCACAGCACACTGGCACGACAAGGGCGCAGACTGGCGCGGACTGGCACACACACAGGCTCACCACCGGAGCCGCCTAAGCGACTCCGTTAAGAACGGCAATGCACTCCGCACCACGCACAATGCCGCTCTCCCCGCACGCTAGCTCGTTCACCGTCTGCCACGCCACGGCGGTGTGGAGGACGACAGACAAGCGCTGCATCTGCAGCCCGTGCCAGTTCTTGGTGGTCCATGTGACCTCGTCCAGGTGCTGAGCGTGCGAAAGTTTATTGCTCAGCTGGTTCGCCGCCTCCCTCAGGGTGCTGCGAACCTCCTTGCCAAAGCCTCCGAAAGCCTCAAAATCAAACAAACGTAGATCGCAATCCTGCTGCCGCGCAAAGGGGTAATCGCCAGGCTGCTCCGTGAGCTTTCTCTTGGGGGCATCCTCCTCCTCCCCCTCCTCCCCCTCCTCCTCGGCCTCCTCCTCCTCCCCCGCCACCGCCGCTGCCGTCGCTTTGTCCATGCACTCCGTCTCGAAGAGGTCGGCGCCAAGCTGATGCGAGGCGAACTCGCTGTTGAGGTGGGTGGCGAGGCGGGTGAAGGAGCGCGCCTCGTCTGCGTTGCCAAAACCTCGAGGACCCGCCCAGGTCGGCAGACAGCGGGAGCACCCAACAGCGACGGTAGGGTCGGCGAGGGAGAAATGGGGGCAGCGGACCTCAGGCACCCCCTGCGGGCGGAAAGCCGAGGGCACGCCTTCGTCGAGGTCGTCGCCACCACCTCCATCGGCATCGTCGTCCTCGGGGCAAACAGGGCAAACGTCGTCGGCCGGCGGCTGCTGCGGCCGGGACGGCCCGGACGGCGGCGGGGCGTCGACGTCGATAGGCGTCGCCGCGTCGCCAGCCGCGCCCGTCGCCGAGGCCGCAGCGCTGCCCGAGGGGCCCGGCCCCGGCGCATCGTCCCGGAGCGCTGCCGATGCTGAGGGCGGCCCCGGCCTCGCTGGGCGAAGCTGGCGGTCCCTGCCGAGGACCTCCGGGGCGCCGCTCACACGGGCAATACCGACACAGTGCCCATCCCGTTCCAGGAAGAGGTGTAGGCCGGCTCGAACGGTGGCCACGTCTGTGGGCCAAAAGACGTCCGTCCGCCTCGCCCCGGGCGCGGAAAAGGAGTCAACCACGATGGCCACGCGGAAGAGATCGGCAACCCCGAGGAGAAAGCCGTCGCACCCGTACTGCCGGCCACCGACGCCCTCGAGAAAAGCGGCTAGGTCCGCGTCCT